GTGAGACTACAAACACTCTTTTCTCGGTCAAATAGGCACCAAATTCAAAATTTATGTTACATTTCGACTACATATATAACCCACTTTCAATAAAGATTAATGTTTCCACGGGTGAAATGCTTCTTTAAGGATTTTAATGTGGAAATTATACTTATTTTGTGGGGAAAAAACATATCAGATGCACATTATTGTTCCAAGCAGATGATTTGTATATACAGAATGTCATAACACGTGTCTGGAGGGGATTTTTAAACCTGGGGGTTGGGACCTCCACTAGGGGATCACCAAAGCTTCATGGGAACTTCTTGATTTTAAGGGGTGTAAGAAAACTTAAAAAACCCACACACACAGGCCTATATCTTAGTATTTTGTTAGTTTATGTAAAGAAAAGTAAATGAAATGATCAATTTTAAATTTAATATGATACATTGAAGATCTAAACTTTGAAGATCTGAACACAAGCTATATTCACAGAGACTTCCCTCGTTTGAGAATGAACATATCCACAAGGAGGTCTGTAAGTAGAAGTCACACGATGAACAACTTTCTCCCGACTTTGGTAGCTGCAATTCACCAACTCTATTCCCGTTGAACCCAATCCCAATGTAGCAACAAAGACCTCATTTTGAAAAGTGTCTGAGAAATGTGGGAACATAGGGGTCGATTGATTAAAGTAAGGAGTCCCTTCAGGAAAGGGGTTGGGAACCACTGCTTTAAACATTATGCCTGAATTAAAATAATGTGAGTATCACTATAGTTCTGTCATTAACATATCCCATGATATCTGATCTAGGAAAGGAATAATTCAAGCAACACTTCAGTCTTTTCCCGTTACACTTGGAAGGGGTTGCTGTGTTTAAAGTGGAGCCTTTCTTTCAGTGACTCTCAGCTGATCCACAGTCAGTTCACTTGTTCTCTTCATCTCCTCGTCTGCGCGAGCCGCTCTGCAAGTGGACAATCTCGCGCATCTGCGCGGGTAAACATGCAGTCTGCTAAGATACGATAATAAGATGTTCCTTTATTTATCCCCCTCAGGAGAAATGCAGGTGACACAGCAGCAATAGGGCAAAGTAGTGCAAAAACAGAGAACAAAGAATATCACAATAAAAATATTACTAATATTATTAATATTAGAAGATATAAAACTAAAAAGAGCTAGAGACTCAGCTGGCTATCTTACATTGTGTTAACTAAGTAGCGCCACATTTACACTGCGAACGTTATTAGCTCGCAAAAACCACAATATATCGCCAATTCTAACTAACTAAATTTGCTTTACAGACTACTGAAAACGTGTTACACAATGCGTCCACACTTTAATGTCGCCTTTCACAGCAACAAACTAACGTTAGCTAGACACCAGACAGACAGCAAGCTCAGCCGGTGTAGAACATAACGTTAGCTCTAGGAGGTAACTCAAAACGTAACACAGCGCGGTTAGGAGCATACACCTTTAAAATCAGCGGTAATATGCAAACAAACGGCTCCTAAGGGAGCGTTACCTGAAACTGGTCAATGGCTTTCAGAGGCTCAGTGCAGTTGGTGAGAGTTTCTTTAAGGTCCTCTCCGTTGGAGATGCCGAGCTCAGGTAGCCCCGCGAACATGTTCCTCTGTTTAATCATCAACTTCCAGATTTATGTGTGAATAAAGGGCTCTAACATGAGAATGTGCAACCGACAACATGCACGCTCGCTACAAAACAAACCAGCACATTACGCCGTCCGCTGTCAGAGCAAACTTCCTGTGTTGCAACTTTGTAAAAGGTCCGTGAGAAACACAAGCGACCAAAGAGTTCCGCGCTTCATTCATGCTCTGCGGGAAACATAACCGTACACCAGTTGGTAAATAAGCCACTGATTGTGAGTATTTGTGTTTATAAATTACATTATAAACGTGTGTAAATTATAATGACCACAAACAGGATTCCACATTGATTTTTAATCGTTGTTTGCTGGCTTCAGATGACTTTAAGCACCTGGAGACTGTAGTCATCACTTTTAATGGTGACCAGTTAGTCAACAGAATATTTGAGACATATTGTCTTGTCAGTGTTGGGTCAGATTCCTATGATTCAGCATTTTTTGAATTAGTAACACAATCTATTGGATTCCAAAAATATAGAATTTAATGTGAATACCTTGGGATTACTTCAAACATTGAAAATGTTGCACGTTGTACTCAAGAAATGGACGCAGCCACAAAAAACTGAATCTTAAAACATTTTCAGTACAAATAAAATTCATTACAGTTGGTCAAATCAAATAACACCGAACGACTTTTGTGATTATCCATTTTCCGGTGTTGAAAACCGTTGTTTTTAATAGATTTTTTGTGTGCTTTTATTGCTTAATAATCGATAGAGACATCTGAAGAGTGACAGGAAGGCAGGGGGAGAGAGAAGAGATGACACGCAGCAAAGGGCCACAGATTAGACTCAAATTGATGGCTGCTAAAGCCAGGACTCAGCCTTGGTACATGAGACGCCCCTGAAGACCACTGTTGTTGTCAGCCTGGTTAGACATGTTTATCATCCATGTTGTCAACCATTTAGAGGCTGTGTGGGCATATGTGTGACACAATGTATTAACACTAGGGTTGAGTCTCTGTAAATGTTAAAACGAGTTCGGTCTAGACCTGCTCTATTTTGAAATAGGTGTCCTGGAGACAACTTCGTTGGCATGAATTGGCGCTTATACCAAATAAAATTGAATTGTATTGAATTGAATATATTAAAGACGTAATTAAAATGTAATCAAGTAATGCGGCGGCTGTGGTTCAGAGGTAGAGTGGGTCGTCCATTGATCGGAAGATTGTTGGTTTAAAACCATTTACCATTCTTCACAATGAAACTATATCCGTCTGATTACATAATCCTGATTACATGTACTCAGTTATTACCCAATGGTGGTTTTAGCAAACACAGTGAAGATAATAAAAATGGATCATGAATCTTTGCCTAACTCAAACAAGAAGCCATAAAAGACCTACATGTGCCAGATTTGTTAATCTGATTAAAGGTGTGACTAAAACATCTGTTGGGAAAAAAATGCCTCCACAGATACTATGACAACAGCTGAAGACTCACTGGAATGTAAATTATTTGGATTTTGTTTTGGATGTTGTTCTTCACATCTTTTGAAGCACATGTGGGCTGTTTCTGTCACAACAAGGAGAAAACAGACAGTGATGCACTAATGTGGTTGTTGTAAGTGGGTGTAATATTACATAATGAAAATGAAACATAAAAAAGAAAAGAAAATTGTGCAGGACACATTGCACTGTCTTGTCGATTTCACTTCAAGTGCAACAAGAAATCTAAAATGTTCTTGTATTCTTTTTCAACGGATATGGAATGTTTTAGATGCACATGTGCACACTCTAAGAGGACTATAAATTGGGATTGACTGGGAGGTGTGTCACTCTTGCCCTTACATCACGCCTTCCCTAGCTTTTTGTTTCTTGTAGGTCAACAGAAGGTATCCCAGTGCAATGAGGAGGAGGACGATAAAGAGGAAGAGAATGCCAGCCCAGAACCTTGGGGGCAGAGCCTTCATCAGTTCTAGTCTCTCTGCAGGTATCATGTTACTCAGATTCAGCATGTACCCCAAAGCCCAGCCTACAGACGCTCCTCCTGCCTGTAAAACACAAGAGGGGATGCACTGAAATCACAACAAGCTTCCTGATTTCAGCACAGCAGACTGTTATTAGGTGTCTATAGTTTGAACACACAGACTGAAATCCCAGCAAATGATGAACAAAAATGTTTAATTCCTTAACCACTGACCGTTTTCTGAAAAGAGATGGAAGGAAGGGAGTCATTATCGAAACGGTAGCCCTTCATTAAGAGGACATGGACGAAATTGGAGACAGCGCAGACATTCTTCATGTATTTCCCAGGCTGTTTTGTCTTTTCAGTCATCTGTAAGTGGAAATAACAGTGGGTTAAAATTTTTATTTTGTTATTCCAATCTTAATCCTGTTGGTCTTGTCTACCATCACTGTAGACATTTCTGAGATATTCAAGAGTAAACGACATATGGACTTTGGGGCTGAAATAAGGGTCTATTAGCCCAGTGATTCTCAATTTTCAATAATGCACCTCTTTTTAAATATTTCTTCTACAGGGTACCCCCTCACCAGTGCAAAACATGTTTAGCCTATATACAGAGGTAAAATACAGCACTGCACCATCAGTGTCCGATTTGTTAAACAATACCCTTTTATCTGTAAAAGCACAATGCTTCGGGAGAGTTAAATCCCATTAAACATTATCTTTTCAAACATTTAACCACAAACTGACAAATTGGTGTACACACAACCCTATTTGGTGGGTTTAGACATGAGCATGTTTAATTATTAAGCGCGAAGAGCTGTGTGCTCCAAGGTACTTCAGAGATGGTCATGTTGCAGACAAGTCGGATTGCGTCCTTCAGTCGACTGGGGGATGTGATGGTGATGTTGGTGAGGCGGTTGATGTAGCTGTGAGTGAAGAAGAAGGCAGAGAATGCCTGTGGAGAAACAAGACCATCCAGATTTAAAACTGACAGCAAGGAAGGAAACATTTGTAAGATCCCTTTTGACAGATTTTTGCATTCCCTTCCATTTTTTACCTTACATCCATTTCTATGGCTGCTGACAGTACAGTGGTGCATATACCCATATGGGTATACAGGGTATACCAAACTTTGGGCAGGGGGATTTACAGTAGGCCTACCTAACAAGTATAGGGGTCTACGACCATGCTAGCAGCTCTGACGCTGAAGATAGGCATAGGGATGGGAACTGATAAGATTTTATTGATACCAACGCTATTATCAATTCTACTTATCGGTCCGATTCGTTGTCAAGTCCCTTACGGATTCCTGAAAATGTTCTGTTTAGAAAAAGCACAGGTTTTCATCATCATCCCAACTATTTTATTATCTTTGTCTGAACACAATGTAGAAATAGAGTTATAGTGGTCTGAGTTTCTTTGTGAAATTAAGCCACATTTTAGATCATTTTTTCCACTCTGCCATGATATGAAAAATAAAAATGGTAAGCTGTGGGACCTGGACAGCCAATATGTGTATGTCTGGGGAAAACATTTAATCACAGGTTAGTTAATGATAAATGTTGGCATGTGTGCTGCCTGTGCCTGTAGAATCACAAAAGAGTCTTAGTGATGGTGGAACTACAGTTTTTAAATTGAGCTGATTTATCTTCTAATAATTAACAATGTAAGCAGCATAAAGTAATGTAGGAAGTGGAGATAAAACCAACATGTTTTCTGCAAATGCAGAATCCAAAAAGTCAAAGAATGCAACAAACGTGAGCATAAAATGCTTTGTAAAAACTACTAAAGGGCTGCCTCACCATGAAGCTTCCTTTCACAGGGGGCTGGAAGACTCCATCAAAGGAGCACCTGGAGTAATTGCAGTTTTTAAAGGAGAACATCTCTTCTACATTTTTCAGGCAGTTCTGGTAGTCTCCTGTGCCCACTACTAATATAGACATCTGGGGGTTCCACTTGGCTGGTCTGTAGCTCTTAGTACACGGAGAATCAAAGACATCCTCCCCCAGCTTGATAGACATGCTGTACTGTTGTGGATAGCAGGGGTGGGACACTTCGGCCTTTACACCTTGAGTCTGAAAGATGCAAAAAAGATAAAAGTGAAACATTCTTCTGGTAAATATGAAAGGAAACTGCAGCTTTCTACTACTCCTGTAGTGTAGAATATGTAAACATTTACAACTGATCAACACGTACAGTGGTTGCTAGTATTTACTCAGTTCAATCAATGGCGTCATAGTGGTGTCACTACTAACATTTGTTTTCTAAAAATTACATATAGAACCTTTGAGAAGGCCAAGACAAGATAATTTCTCAATTTATATAGTATCAAAAGCTTCTGATATTATGTGAAGGTATAATATGAAATATTATAGCCCTATACCACAGTGGCAAAATCTGCCTCTGGTCCAGCTTCATATTCAAAGCACTGACAGAGTGGTATTTATCCTCTCTCCACACTCCTGGCAAGAATCTGACTAAGCCTATTTCTCAAAATGTTAAACAATTTATGCAAATGTGGTGTAGTCAGTCTAGTACACCCTTAACCCAGGGCACTATGGTTCAAACATCCTCTGGCCTCTCAGGTGCTCAAGAAGAAAGAGTACCCACAGACACAAATCATGAAGAAAACATGAAGATTGCCATGTGTGATAGTACCTTGATAAGATGAGCCAGCAGTTTCCTCAGGAACTGGTCTTGGCCGTAGCACAGGAAGCTCTGGGTGTACAGTCTGAAGGTTTGTCCATAAAGTTTCAGTTCCTTCGCATTATCCTTCTCCTCCACCTCTTCCGAGGTTTCAAAAGTAATCTGAGTGGAAGCTCCACCTAAATCCAAAGCTCCAATTGTATCTCTGCCTGGATTCAGCCAACGCCCAACAAAACCATACTGTGTGGCAAGAAAAGGACATGTCAGGACATACAAATTTGAATTGATGTAGGACAATAGAAATAATCCAATAAATGAACAGAGTTGACTCAGAGGAAGACATCCAGCCCTTTCAAAGCCTCTATTTGTGGATTTTCTTTAGCCAACCAACGTGAATCTATGGCCGTGTTAGTCAGGTGGTCCATCAGTGTTTCAGAGTGAAACAGCTCTGTTTGATGGATTGCTTGGATTGCTTCATTGTTACGACAGAAATCATCAAAATAGTCAACATGTTATGTCACTTTCACTCAATTTAATCGCATTATGAATGTTATTAATGTATTACTCATATGTTACTCAGCTCCTGGATGTGCTTTTCTTTACTGTCAACTGACTGTAACTGTAAGGATTTTTTATTAAAAATGCAGAAATTATATAAGACAACAAATCATCTTATATCGATTGCGCACACATATTTGTGCAAGACACAGAATGACCTCATTAACGATGCACGTCACAGTGTGCTGCCCAAATAACCTTCCACATGCTTGTGGTCTTCATGGGCACTCGGACGCTGTGGCAGTCACCAGAAATAGATCACACAAGTAGGCACTTGACTATTTTCAAAAATACTGCAAGTGCTGGTATTGGGCTGGACCCAAGTGTGAACCCGTTGTAATGTCACCCATTGGTTTGTGGAGTACTGTTTTGAAGTCTCCAGTTTGGCATTATGGTTGTTGCCATGTTGTTTTTTTGTAGCCAGCAGCGCTGATGTACTCCGAGTTGAACTGTTCTCATTGGCTGCCCAGTTTCAACTCATCCGTAGCAGGAAACAACGGCGGCTCGCCTGGTCCCACACAATCCCATATTCCAGCTAAACAGTACGCTAAAATATGTTTCTGAAATGATTTTAGTTGA